ATATTTTGTTCACTTTACTTTCTTATTGTCAGTAGAATTTAATTCTCTGTTGTCTCATTTGTTTTTTTTGTGGGGTTGGTTTGTGGTTTTCTGCCATTTTATATGAACAGTTTGAAGACGAAAAAAACTAAAAGAGAATGACTCGCTTATTGTTACGGGGTTCGATTGTACAATTTATAAGCCTTTGAGGTTAGAAAGCTTTGAGCAGCTGATTAATTTTGCGTGGGTTATGGTCTGAATATTATGATACCTGAATAAATGCTTATTCTCATCTGGTTATCAAGTTAAATGGAAAAATAAGTGACTTTGTGAACTACTGTTTCAAAAGTGGAAGCGCGGTTTCTTTAACATGATCGCTAAGTTCTAACAAATATTACGGGATAAGACATGCTATTAAACTCTGTCTGTAGCTGAAATTTACCAGTAGTGTTTAGTTGAGCAAACATCGGAGTTTCTTTCAGAAGAGTTGTGATCCTATCAGAAGCCTACATTTAGTTATTGATGTCTTAGCAAATGTAGTAAAATGCAATAAAATAGTACCGTTGGAAGCACTTTCACTATATCTTTGACTGATTTACTCGTTAGGTTGAAACGATAATTTTTTTTAAATTTTATAGTTCAAGGATATGTAAAAAAACTACTAAGCATCTTCAACCAAGTGATGGGGAAAATTAGATTGGTGTTTCGGGCGCGACCTTCCTTACCTGTTTGGCCTATTCATTACCACAGTTGGATCCTGATGTGATCTGCGATCTAAATAGGGCTTGAATTTACTCCTTTAACTCTTGGACAACCCAGTCCAAGAGGAAAAGGGCAAAAGGCATAGACAGCTGAGAATTGTAAATAAGACTAATTATATCATGTGCAAAGATGGGCATTTAGGATAACTCGTATAAAGCACAACTGGAAGATAAACCTTGACAAGGTAAATAAACTTATTATTGCTTAGATTTCATTATCAATGGTTAGTTTTGTATTGGATTAAAAATAAATCTCGGTAACTCAATTAACCTAGTAAATCTTATACGGTATGATTAAAAAATCATCTTGGTCAAAATTCCGTCCTAGTAATATAAGAGAGCAAAAGGTTTTATTTTAAAAACGGTAATGATAATAGTAATAATTGTATTATATTTTATGCGCAGATACATATAAAAGAGTAACACTTACGAACATCAACATTATTCATCATAAGGCTTAATATAAAAACGATATGAAGCTTGAGGTTATATGAGATAATGGATAAACAAAATGTGATACGAAATTGCACTTAATAAATGTTATACTCTAGTCACAGTGTGGACGCTAGTGTTCGATACTGAACAGATTCACTCAGCTAACAATTTGGCAGGAAATATTTGATATAACGTGCATCTAACTTTTCCCGTAATAACTTTATTGTTTATGTTATTGGCAGTAGTTTATTTGTTGACTTATCGCTTTCCAAAGTTTTTAAAACTCATAATGTGTCATCCCGGATTCCGCATTCGTATACCTGTACAGCATTCAGGAGCACCGCTACAGCAATGTAAAGGTGTTCGAGTATAGCAAAAATATATTAAACTAATACGTTCTTGCATCCAGGTCATCCATTATAAGCTCAAATTAGACCATACGAAATCCGAGGATATAACCCTTAGGTTCTACTTACTAGTAATGTCAAGGTGTGGTAAGAAGACTATATTAGGGAAGCCGTACAATATGCATTGTATTTATCTGACTCTAAAATACAAAATTCGAGATTATTGTGCATTCAAAAATTGCCCAGACACTTCTAACACATCTTTTGTTAAAAGGAATTAAACAAAATGTTTATTATGAAGATCTGCAAGACTGTATATTTTTAACAAATATGAAATTTGAAGACAACAGCAAAATTAGCAAAGCACCACAGCGCCCGAAATACGCAAGAAGCTAATCAGTTTTCAGTCGAATGGCTGAAAAAACAAAACGCACATTCATCAACTGTTATTACTATACGTTCACAAGTACATAAGATAAAGCGTTTGTGATTTCAGCAGTTCATTTCTGAAAATCTTCGATCTCAATTTCCCGCGTAACTCAAGATCACATTAATAATTTGATGTGGCTAGTTGTTTGCATTTGTCTGTGTTTACTTCTCTTGTTTCTTGGAGACATAATATTACCACATTTCCTAAAGAGCATTTTTTTTCTCACCGTTTTTTGTCTTTTAAGTTCTTAAAATATACTTCTGACGAGAACTTGATTGTTTTACGGTTCATTGATGCAAATACTGTCAAATAATCGTATGGTTATTCTACGAATACTTTCTGGGTTCGCATTTTTCAAAGTAACTGCACTTCGCTTACGAAGTGCTAAGAAGGGATAGAATGGCTAGGTCGGATTTTCTAACAACCGGTTTTTGTTCAATATGATTCCTGTTTTAATTCATCAGAGGTACAGCTCAGAGAAATATTTGTTTTCTCATCGAAACACCTGAATTTTTTATGTGTGATATTCACTCAGGGTAATATCTCTCATGTGTTTTATACACTTCCTGAAATTCGCTCGGCGTCTCATGCAACATGAACTTCTTGTAGTAGTTTAGTCGTTTTCAGTCAAGAAAATTTTTATATTTAACTTATCCGTATTACTTCAAACCATCACTCACCTAAAACGCCGTATTTTCGTTTGCACCTCCACCCACCAATGTGGTAATAACTAAGTCCCGACACAAAGTGTTGTCAAATGAGATTTATTTCAAACAAGCTTATTCGGTAGCCAAAAGCGCTTGGTCGGACTACGGGAATGAATTGTGTATGAACGAATAACAGTATATAGGATTTATGTCATAAATGAAGTATCCTTTTGTGACCCTATATCTGACACCAAATTGATCGTTTGATGCTTGTTATCAAAATATACATATCTTTAATCCTCGTATATAGTCATCGACTTAAATCGCGTTCGTGAATAACGGAATTAACCAATCCAAATACAAGAATGGATTTCTGGATACGTATATTTCATACAACCGTTGGTCGGAAAGCAAAGCAACACAAAGTGACGCAATGTAGAAAGCGAGCGAATCAATTCAATTTAGCCAAGTGTGAGTCAATATTTATGATCAGACTAAAAATAAGTTACAGACATATGATGAGTAAGGTAGGTAATTAACACATAAACGGTCAAATAGAGAACAATCACGACGAATAAGTGACATGGAAAAAATGTGGCTTGAGAAGAATGAATGGATTGATCTGTCAAGAGGCTAGAATAACCTATGTCAACTTGACATGGTAACCGCCCTCACAATCCATCATCAATGTGACGAAGCAATTGGACAATAATACATGGACATTCACTCCAATCTATGTGTACACAGACGAAAATCCATATTTGTTTGCAAGAGAGTGTAAAAACTAACCAATGAAATAATAATTATACATCAAACAACAAAGCATTTGCTTAGTAACGTTTTTAACATTGCTGAAAATACAAGAGTATAGTATAATGGAAAAATAGTGGAATGACTAATGTGTTCAAAAAGTGAAGCAACGTTCCAGAGGTATTTTTGTGCATGTCCGCTATGTGATATCTGTTAATTATTTATAAAGTGTGTATAGGGGTTATATAAGTCAAAGTATTTTCAGTAAATGTCAACTTCTTTTGAGGAGAGAGACGTGAATATATCTATGTTTGTACAAACTTTACGTACCCAATTACGTCGTGGAAATAGCAGTGGTTTTTGGTTTTGATTATCATAAGGTAGACTGGCTGTTAGCCAGTTATCCGATGTCGGCCACATCGATTTGCTAGCTAACCTATAAGGCACATACAGTAGCTTTATTATGCATATTGTTAGATGCATGTTTGACATTTTAGTTTAAATTGCCTCTTAAAGTATACCTTAGATGTGAATTTCTATCAAAGTTGCGGCCCGACTAACTATTTTATGTTCTGTTAAAGTGCACAACGAAGATAATAGTAATAAAATACAATATCACAGAGCCTACTTCAAATCTGAATTCTCAAATGCCCTGAGGACGCCACAATTTTTCGGAATTCCTTAACGTCTTTACACGCAACACCCGTATAATCGACGTATGGCGACCTGGTCAAATCAGAAGTCAGAAACAAGGAGGTTCAAATATATATTTGACAAGCCGTCGATTTCTCGATAAGCGTTTGATCTTGTAGTGTGGCGTCGAGTCCCAGTTGACTATGAACACCGCTACCAAGAAAACACGTGCCAAACAAATGAGAAGGCGGATTGGAATCAAGTTTATTCAACTGGCGATCTCGTGGTATCGAATGAATACAAAGATCGTGCCAAGAAATGGTACAAGGGAAAACAGGAGAACGGAGTACGTGTGCACAAAGCCAAGAACCGCGAAACAAATGATGGAAGGTAATGAAAGCACAGAATGGCTGTAATCAGCACAGTTAAACAAAAGCACATTAAAACAAGTACTGGTACAGTTGTTTATAATGACAATTGTTTTCATGAAACCAATCGTGTTCTCGTGATAAAAGTAAGTCACTACAATCTAATCCAGTTAACGATTGCAACAGATGTGCAGCACAGTGTATCCACTCCTGATATGGTGCGAATGCAAGAGATATATTCACTGAAACTAATGAGGTGAGCATCAAATGTCGAAGACTTACAGAGATATTGATTTTTGGGGTTTATTTACCAATACAATATATTTTGAGCTCTCACTTGAGACTTCATCTCAAAAGTAACCCATGGATCATATCCCCACACCTGAATAGGTATGATGCTCTCTTGAGACGTGTTTAAATAGGAATGGTTAAAAATCAAACCCTTCTTAGCTATTCTGGAAGCTCTAAATTTGCAACATGTGAGTTGCAGAACTTTTCGTGGTATATGACCCTGGTTTATCATATCGTTTCATCTTATTTTGATCTTGCTACATTTCAGATATTTTCGCCACTGCAAACCGAGAATCGCCAATCAAATGCATATATTCGGTTGCGCAGTTTCAAATAACAATGGGTTGCTCTACTCGCGCTGACCTTAAGTGTATTCGCTTCGCAGCCTATTTCGTCTCCATCATGCAGTAGGTACTGTTTTATTTCCTTTTTAGACGGACTATCTTCTGGGATGTTTTGTGATACATTTTTAAATCTCTAGACACTATCTTTTTATTAAGATCTCAGTTTCTAAACACCAAAAGTATATGACGAATAAATATATACTCGTCAGATGACCCGATATCTAGTTTGTCCACTTATTTAGTTTTTGTTCTCACATTGTTGTTTTGCTTAGGTGTTTACTTTAATTAGTCTAACTCTGGTTTATTGTCATATCGATATCGTTTATATTTGAATTCATACATTGAATGGACTGTAATTTTAAATTACGTTTCAGTAAACGAGTCATTTTATGTTCGGGTATTAGTTGTCGCATTAAGAAACATAAGTTTCTTTAGCTGCCAAGTGAATAATGACCAAAAATTCGTCATCCTTAGTTTGAGAGAGCAGTATAGTCGTGCTGTGACATTATAATTCTCGAACGAACTTTGACATCAGTAACCTTGAAAAATCCAAATCACTAAGGCCCAAAGAGGGTTAATAATTATTACGAAAAGTTAAGGTTTATGATTAGTAATTGATGGGTTTTCAGCACGGACTAATATCAATCGTAACACAGAATTTTATTTGGAGATATCGGTGGATGAATTTGATCTGATCGGTTCGTCCATAAATTGTAGGCTCCCCGTTTTTATCTTTAATTGGATCATAAGTGTTTTTGCAAATTGTTTAATTCTCAAGGTCACCCTAGCGTCGCTCAAAAGTCGTCCATAAATTATAGTCTCATCCAAATAATGTATTACTATTACAATGCTTTCATACAAATCCATCAGTATCCATGGAATGACGTTTCGGGTTGAGTTGAGAACCATAAAAATCGACTTCCCGACATATTCAAGCGTTTTAAGCATCATAAGATTCCCTATTGTCAAGTGGGTCAGTAATGACACTTCGATTTCGACGAAATTATATCTTTATCCATTTTATCCCAAATTCTTCAATGTTGAACACCGAAATTCTATTATAATGTAAGCTTGGTTCTCGTACTTTGTCACTGAAGGTTTTTACACGCATATACTGAATTTAGCATAAATGTATCCCAATTCAAGTTCTGCACTCGACATCTTAGAAGGAACCAATAAAATGTTAGCAAATAGGTAAAAATCATGATATATCATTTTCGAAAGCTAAACACGACAAATTTCATAGAGAACAAATAATGCCGAGGAATGAGTATTATTTAGTATTACTAAGTTGAAGATTGGTAGGGTGAATAAGGTCAAATATATTTGTGATGTGGCGAGTAATTTCGAATGTTGACACCGAAAGTTTCGAACCGTGGCTCCCAGTTACTTCTTATATCACAAGGAGAATGCGTCTCGCGATCGATACTCTAGACTAATAACCTTCCTGTTGCAGCTGACTGACTGAGTCATCTTTTTGTGTGATCCCTGCACGGATTGTTTGGAACTGGTTTACAACTAAATCTAATCTCACTTAAATTAAACCATAAGGTTAGGAGAAATCAGTAAATTTCTGTGGGGTCTACAAGACTAATAGACGCTCGGAAACTCATCCTGTCTGGCTCAGAACACAATAAGGAGCGGAGACAGCTTAAATGTAGGTTGATCAAAAGCCTACGTAATGATCGTGAGCAGTGGTGGGTAGCGAAAAGGGCAGTAGTTATTTTACTTATTCATTTATTTGAACACAACTGTTCAGAGTTATCAAGGAAACAAGTATTAAAATAGGGCTATTAGTGAAACTACCTCGCAAAGAGACGGGACTATCATTCACTCTCAGTTCAAGACATTGAACCGATGGGCAGAACTTATTTACTTAAAGATAAACGTCCAGACATAGTACACGTAGGAGATGACTTAAGTGCCCAGATAGGTAGCTTAAACCAGGCAGAAAGGCATTTGGGTGGGTATTTTAGTATTCCGACACAGCGGACAGATAATGGTGATCGTCTGCTGCAACTGTGCTCAGACAATCGTTTATTTTTAGCAAACACAAATTCTAAGCATGAGGAAAGACATTGTCTAACATGGCGACTCCCTGCACCAAACTAACGATAGACTCAAATAGACCATATTGGCATCAGTCATCGTTGGAGAGGGTCGGTAGAAGATTGTCGCTCATTCTGGAGTACCTGCTTGGACTCCAATCATACTCTAATACGAGCACGCATCTGTTTGAGCCTCACTGGATGCAGAAAAGCCACACTAAGAAGGCCCATTAGAACTGAATTGAGTAACGAAAAAACCAAAAGTAGGTTCCAGGAACAACTGAGGTCACACTTAAATAGTTCTGAAAACGAGGCTGCTCTCAGTCCAGACGTTTAGAACGATGGGCGAAACACTCTAGAGAACAGTTTAGCTGGTGTTCATCTACTCTAAAACTACTTACTATTCCCAGAAAGCCTGAATGGAACAATGAAGTAAGTCCTTCAACTCGAATTGAAGAGGAAGAAGCTATAGCTAATCCGAAACAAGGAAGGGCAGCTGGTTCAGATGGATTTGCTCCAGCGGTCTTTAAGTTTGGTGGTCCAGTTTTAGCGATTGGGTTGACTAATATTTGAGCTAAAATCTGGGAGTCGGATGTAATTCCATCTGACTGGTCGCAATCACTGGTAGTTCCAATATATAAGAAGGTTAAAACCATCCTGTGATAACCATAAAGTGATTAGTTCGACTAATATAGAACCTAAAATACTAGCCTCAATAATTGTCAGACGCTTAACAAAGACTCGTAAGCCGCAAACACGAGGAAATCAGGTTGGTTTCAAACCTGGTCGTGGCTGCATCGACCACATATTCACCGTTCGTCAGGTTCTAGAACATAGGCATACTTATCGGCGTCCGACGATGGTGGTCTTTCTTGACTTAAAAGCAGCATTTGACTCTGTAGACCGGGAAGTTTTGTGTCAGTGTCTGTTATTGAAAAGCGTACCTCAGAAGTACATAAACCTTGTGAAGGCTCTTTACTCGAACACTACCAGTCGGATCAGAGGTTATGGAAAGTTGTCATTTGATTTTTCAACCTCAAGTGTTGTCCGTCAAGGCTGTCAACTATCTCAGTTTGTGTTTAACTTCATCATAGACCTATTGATGGGAATAACATTCTCGTCTACTGAATTCTTGGGCATTGATCTCCCTCCAGGCGGTCCACTTATCGACTTAGAATACGCAGCTGACACAGTCCTTTTTCGAAGACGCTGATAAAATGCAGAGGTCATTTGGTCAGTCAGTCAGCTACAACGTAGGAACAGGCACATATGTGCATCGGTCCGGGTTGCCATACCGCATCAACACAACAAGATGAACACCGGATTCATAACAGTAGTTAGGTAAAAGGTGGTAATATATAGGAAAAAGATTGCATATAAGGATACAGTACCGGAATAAAGAATTAGTTCGTAGAAAGAGATATGAAGCGATTTTAATCTCATAGTTTAAAGGAAGACAGGGAGTGTATACACCGACGCCATTGTGATCGATTCTGAGCCATGTCACCAAGAGTCTCCAATCATTGGTTATGATAGTCACGCAGACCCCAACCAAGTAGTCTGCATCTACCAACATGGCTCAGACTAGAAGTTAGTGACTTCAAGCACTGATGCCACGTTTTGGTTTGGCCGCCCCTAATTCTCTTCCAACCATCTCTAACACCCGTTAGCATTGCACGACGTGGTAATCGGTGTTCAGGCATATGTAGCACGTGGCCCAACCATCTCAGTCGATGAAGATTAACAACCTTATCTCCGGAATAGAAGGAGATGTTGGTAGATGCAGACTACTTGGTTGGGGTCCGCGTGACTATCGTAACCAATGGTTGGAGACTCTTGGTGACATGGCTCAGAATCGATCACAATGGCGTAGGTGTATACACTCGGTTTCTTCCCTTAAACTAAGAGATTAAAAGCGCTTCATATCTTTCTTTCTACTAACCAATTCTTTCTTCTTGTACTATATCTCTATATGCAATCTTTCTCTTATATATTACCACCTTTTACCTAACCACTGTTATGAATCCGGTGTTCATCTTGTTGTACTGATGCGGTATGGCAACCTGGACCGATGCACATAAGTGCATGGTTCTACGTTGTAGCTGACTGACTGACTGAACAACCTTATCAACTGATTTACCAGCATTCCCTAATACCCTGCGTCTAACCTCACTATTACTTACCCGGTGATCCCAACAGACGCCAGCAGTATTTCTAAAGCATCTGTGATCAAATACTAGTAGCTTACGGGTGTCTTCTACTCTTAAAGGCCATGTTTCGCTGCCGTAAAGTAAGACAGAACGGACTACCGCGCAGTATACTCGTCCTATTATTGATAAACGGATATCTCGCCTTCGCCACAGGTGACGTAAGTGGACACGTTTCTCCCCATATAAATGCAAGTTATTGCTTCAGGACTGGTCTGTGTCAACACCTGAACTAAGGATAGGGAGTGAAGTAGTCGAACGCGTTGACAACTTCACTTATCTTGGAAGTCTGATCAGCCCTAATGGGCTGGTATCGGACGAAATCTCATCACGGATTCGAAAAGCTCGTTTGGCTTTTGTCAACTTACGTCACGTATGGTGATGGCGAGATGTCCGTCTATCAATTAAGGGATGAGTATACTGCGCCTCAGTCCGTTCTGCTTTAATTTACGGCAGAGAAACATGGCCATTAAGAGTAGAAGATATTCGTAAGCTACTAGTATTTGATCAACTATGTCTTAGAAATATTGCTCGCATTTTCTGGAATCACCTGGTAAGTAATAGTGAGGTTAGACACAGGGTATTAGGGGATGATGGTAAATCAGTTGATGAGGTTGTAAATCTTCATTGACTGAGATGGTTGGGCCACGTGTTTCGTACGCTTAAACACCGTTTACCACGACGCGCAATGCTGAGTGGTGTTGGAGACGGTTGGAAGAAAGTTAGGGGTGGTCAAACCAAAACGTAGCATTAGTTCTTGAAATCACTAACTTCTAGTCTGAGCCACGTTGGTAGATGCAGACTACTTGGTTGGGGTCTGCGTGACTATCGTAACCAATGGTTGGAGATTCTTGGTGATATGGCTCAGAATCGATCACAATGGCATCGATGTATACACTCTCTGTCTTTCCTTAAACTAAGAGAGAAAAATCACTTCATATCTTTCTTTCTACTAACTATTTCTCTCTTCTTGTACTATATCCTTATATGCAATCTTTCTTTTATATATTACCATCATTGAATTAACTACTTCTATGAATCCAGTGAATCTTGTTGTGCTAATGCAGTATGGCAACTTGGACCGATGCACATATGTGCCTGGTCCTACGTTGTAGATGACTGACAGACTACGTGGTTGGGGTTAGTCTTCACCCAAATTCTGAGTTTCTCATAACTTTTTTTCGTTATTATTCCGCTAATTTATATATTTTTTTCGAGTTGTATCTTCTGTGTTTAATCTTTCTTATTACCACTGATATTGTTACTATTTCTACTGTTCTGGGATTTTGCCTGAAAATTTCATTTCGGTGTGCCAATGGGGTACATACATACAGGTTCTACTTTGTGAATGAATGACCAAATAACACGTTTTTTATTTATTTGTTGTCATTCCCTTTTTCCTTATCTCCAAAGTCCTGAGAAGTGTTATACAACTGACTTTCTCACAAATCACTGGATTGAATATGTAACGGTTGTAAAGTTAATCCTCACTAGTGACTATAATATATGGCGATTTTTCCTTCATAAATTTCCCTTTCGTCCCTTGGAAATATAAAACGGAACATAATTCTGAGTTTTGTTGCTATCAGTATTGGGTCTTTATTTTTTGAATTTGATTTCGCGAAAATGTCACAAACCGTGTCCCATCGGTCTAGTGATTTGAAAGCCCAAGCCTTTGAAATTTTAGAGTGCTTCTAGAAAGTTTTTATTACTTGATACCAACTAGACAACTTCAAACGGCGTCTTTATTTCTGCATAAAGATATCGAACTCCTTTCAACGGAAACTTAGGATAATGTTTAAAATGCATCACCGAAATCTTTAATGTTTTCACTACGTCGAGAACTGAATTTCTGTACTGACGCTTTTTTTCTTTGACAAATTTTAGGTAAATGGAAAATTATCATTATCCTCTGCAAAATATTTTTGTTCATAACGCTTTCTCATGTATCATACCCCTTCCACAAGGAAACGAAAGTTCATATTTCAGTGTCCCTGTGCCCTTATCGTCTCAACCCAAACGGGGGCCGCTTCTTCAAGATCCATCTCCAACCTTCAATCCACCAACAAGCAGTATATCGTGTTCATTTACATAAAGTGTGTTTATTAGGTCCTTCAAATGACATCATACAAACGTCATTATGTGAGGTAAATTTGGATGATGTCCCGATGGAAATCGTTACTTCCGAGGATGACTCTGGATCAGAATATGCTGATGCTTTCCTCTCCGCATACACAGAGTCAGAGGATCCAGTTGTTCAGAACGTAGGTTTACTTCATTTGTTATTTATTTCTGAAGTGCTCAGCAGAATTAGATGAAATTGAACTCAGAAGTCGTGCACTAAGGAGCATGCTGCTCCAGAAAAAAACCGCTTCAGGGAATAAAACTCAACCGAAAACTGATCTCACACTACTCCATAACTTACCTGAAGTCAGGAATTCTTTTTCAAAAGTCACGGCATCATATGATTCATCAACTCTAAAACATAAGCGGAAATTTATAATTACGTTACATGAATCATCAGATAGCGATGACTCACTTAGTCAATCTGTTGGTGCTGTTTTCAAGGGTTCAGCGGCAAAAAGATGTGATTCTAAGCCTCCTATCAACATGGATATTCCTAATCAATCAAAGAAAATCAGTCGTTTTCATCAAGAAGAAAAGATGTTGTTGCAACGAAAAATGGAGCTTCTCCGACTGAAACTAACTGTTAAACGTCAACAACACTTGATAGATGAACGACGTAAAATAGTTCGGAAGTTATCGACCACGTTATCAGAACTTCGTAGGCGCAGTAAGCATACAGCTTTGTTGTATAAAGAAGCTAGTAAGTCTCTTCTCAAGGCCCAACGTACAAATGCTACTTATCAGCGAAAACTGGCGTCAGCCCAAAAATTATATTCAGATGTGCTTAATTCTGTAAACCGCTCCACTGCGGACATAATACAAACAGGTTTTGCTTTATCATCTGTAAATCTACGCAGAGATCTTATTATTTTGTCTTTAGATGTTCTACAAAGAGCGAAAGTGGTTACGTGGTTTCTTGTTCACTATCATTTTAACCCAACTACATCGAAGTTTAACATGAAAAGTGTGAAGCCGGTGGCAACAGTAAAACCAAGTTCGGAAACCTCGCTGGAATTCGATCCATTCCGTCCGATTTGCCCATTTTTCCTCGATGGTGAATGTCTAGACAAAACATGTATATTTCAGCATCCCAAAAATTCAACTGTTATAAAAGCAAGACCGAAAACTTTTTCCCGTTTACCCATGGTTAGCACGAATGTTGTGTCTCTGCTTGGTGAGGAAAATAAAGGGAGATATGATGACGTGTATTGTGAAGTGTGCAAAGAAAATTTGATCATATCTGCATCAGATTTCTCTCAGTCACCAGGAATGCAACGTTGGCATACAGCTTATCTTACATATTTACGTTCAGAACCAAAAAACTCGGCCTTCCTTCATAAATTCTCAAGCGACCTCGAAAATTCCTCATTCCCTGCAGATTTATGTGCCCATCTAGTATTCGGACTTTTGTTATGTTCTAATATGGATCCAGTAACAGTTAAGCAAAAGCTTTTTGATTGCCTAAAAGCCTCCGGTTTTCCATTGAATGCCTGTAGATTAGCATTACGACATCCCAATTTAAGCATACCAATCCGCAGATCAATAATTAAATTGTCTCTTGAATATATAACTCTTCAATTCCAGCAAGATGCACAAGCAAGTCAAGAATCAAATTTTGAGTCATCCTTTGCGTACTTCGTTTATCAGTGGTGTTTGCTTGAACAAGAACTTGGTTTACATAACAAGGTAATAACCATCCTAAAACATACTCTCAAATCATTACCTACGGAGAACAAGCTAATTTATTTCTTGTGGTGGTTACGATTATATCACCAACTAAATGGTACTTTACCCCATGAAAACCTATTTTCTACCGCCAATTCACCATGCTTCTCCAAACCAGTCCTCTTATCTAACCTGGAAATTATTGAAATGGCAGCCACTGAAACTGGTATTTCTAAAAATTTATCTCAATTACTGGAATCATTCGAAACTATTAAAAATGATATTAGCTTCACTTGCTTTCTGTATATCACTCATTTATACATTCAAACTCTTAATGCAGATTCCAAATTTAAAAGTGCAGCAGATATAGCACTGACGGTAGCATTACATTCCCCTGAGTTTGTAGATGATCTATTTTTCCCATCTGCAGTGTATTCTTTATTTTCCTTAGATCCATCTCTTGACTGGACAAGCTTGATTAGTAATGTGTCTGACAAATTACGAGCTAACCTTAATTTAGCCCATCGAATTGAATTTGGATTCTTGATAACATGTTTAAATTGGCGTAGAAAAACATTGAATTCTACGGAATTCCATCTTATTGAGTGTTTGGGCAATTTAATCTTTCTTCCAAAAGATGATTGCGAAAATGTTATTTCAGCGTATGAAAATTTGTTGAATATAAAGTCCAGTAATAGCAGTCTTGTTAACTTTAAAGTGTGTCCACGAAGTTTCACATATTTATGGCTCAGTTATTGTCTGTATACCACTATCCATTGCCTAAATTACGGTGAAGTTTTAGACCACTTAATTAGTCAGTATAAGTCATGCATCATGAGTTGTGCAAACGAAGATCCAAATTATGTTTTCATTCGTCTTTTAGCCCTAATGAGTCTCTTATTAGCAAGTCATGTGAATCAGTTAGATAGTTCAATTTATCCTACTGTCATAAAGTTACTGTTCATCGATAACCCTTTCAAGTTGGATCGTAAGTTACTTCCAGCGTACTTTCTTGAATTGATTCAACAAATTAACTTAGGTCTTCTTCCTTCTGGAATTCGTCACGATATATGTGTACAACTCGTTGAAATATATGGTGCTTCTCTGGTTCCCTCTTTATGTCGGACTTTGTGTGCTCTAGGTGACCACTTTTTAGCTCAAAGTCTGTGTGCAATCGGATGTTTAGATAGACCTGATAATGAAGACTTCTGGCTTTTGTATGCTTCGACAACATTTAAAACTCTTTCACATATACGATCATCTGAACAGTTATCAACTCTTCTAGAAATTCTAATAAATGCAACTTCGGCGGTGACTTCAAGTTCTCGACTTTGGAAATATTACGCACTTGCTGTTCGCATTGCCAAGGTATCAGCAGAGCAAATAACGAGCCGTGCGAAGTCTGTTGGAATGTATGATCTCATTTCTAGTAGTCTGAACGATGACAATCCTACAAAATTTTTATCAGAACTTGGACTCCTCTGCGATGAAAGATCTACGGACAGAAAAAGTTAGAATTAAACCATAAAAGTAAGTTAGTTTAGAAAAGTAATAGTGTAACATCCTTATTTTCAAAGTTCACTTTGATACTTTTATATCCAATCTTTTAATAAAATGGTTCTAATTTTATTTATTGTACTTGTTCAACTAACCGTTTGTTTATCTGCTCTTTGGTAGTTTACAACGTTTATTTTTTAGAACTTACTGCAAGCCATTTTATCAAGTTTAATAGAAAGCCAACCATTGTTAATTTCTGAAAAAGTAGTCTAATGTTTGCTTTGGTGAACATTTGTTGATACAGCATTGAACAACGAACGTAGCCTATCACTAGAGGACTTAGTTAAAATAGTTTGAAACTTGTCACTAGCTCAGGTACATTTGTTCTTTTATTTTCTTTAATCTCGAGCACAACACTATCACATACTTCCCATTCCCAAATCTCAATCGTCCCTTTTAAACTGTCTAATATGTGTAGTTTTCTGCAAAGATAAGTATTTTAATTTTTACTTCTCTGGTCTCACCTTAATAAATGTAACTTTTGAGGATTTAAACTGACATAAATTTTTGCCGAATTACACAATCTTCTTACTTCTATCTGTCAATCAGAGTAATACCAACCCAATTTGTTGCTTCTGGAGAAATATGATTTTTTTCATATCCATTAGATAGTATAGACTTTTTATGAAGTGATTCTCCAGAATCCTCAGTTTATGCTTGCTGAATTGTTACAAATTTCCTGAGATTCGCTACAAACAGCATGTTAATTACAGTGAATTTAGGCACATTGCTCAACACAAATTAACTATTAGTGTTTGATAAATAATGTCAGTCGATGAACACAATATAAGTATTAGATTAGTTTTCTAAAATATTTTCGGAATCCAGTACTCTTTGCTTCTGTCTGGTTAAGAATTGCTGGGACAGATCGTTTTTGTATGTTCAAACTTATTTATCCTGTTTTTGTAATTCATTGCTGTCTATTATTTTTTATTTTTATTTCAACACATAGATATTGGTACAAAGAGGCACCAAATACATATGCGCCACACAAATCTCATTCGATATGTGTGAGGGCTGTGATACTGCCCGGGTGCTCAGACCGAAGCAGGTGGTTTTCTTAGGGGGCCACACTCCGAGCCTTCGACCTGAGGGTCTGATCCACAAGGCAGTGGAGCTTCGTAAGGAGATGCAGTCCCATGGTAGCCGGTGACCAACAATTGGTTCATACACCATTTGTTCCCTCAGGATACTGGAGCCCATGTGCACAATTGGTTTGGAATCCGGTTAAAGCGCCGGACATTCGATTTTCGTCCTCTCATTTTCGTGAACAACACCCCCGCCACGAGAAGGCAGTGAGTAGGACTTCCCTGGCAGAGGCTATATACGCGTGGCCATGTGAGAGCATTTGGAGAGGGAGAGCGGACTCTCCCCACTCTCGGCTGTACCAGGGCATTTGGGGGCTTAAATGTGACTGCATATTTTTGTCTGCACGTGTTTAAGCAGATTTAATAGCAACTTCCCATAATTTCAACCTACCTTTTATTAGACCTGGCTACTTTCATACATTTTTATGCATCTTGAATTCGTACATATTGCAGCGGTGACGTTTATAAGAGATAGTTCTACAAAACAGTAAACACCTAATCCTAAAATCTTTATGTGCTCCCCAACTCCCAATTGTTGTTTTCGACAGTTTATAGTCAGTCGAATTATTTTGCGTACCTTTCTATGTCTTCTGTTATTGTTTTCCAACCACTTTAGGATTTCATCTATGTAGTGGCATCAAGTAGTCTGTTCATAAATTCCATCTAGGTTACTTTCTTAACGAATTCCATTTTAATGCTAACTGATAGGACAGATGGATAGTGGCTAGCAGTGGAATCCAGGACGTGAGTTTCGTCCTAACAAAGCTTGTGATCTAAGGTAATATCGAGGTAGTTCGCACAGGATGTACGTATGCCATTGTGAGACTAATTAATTGCAGTTTTAAATAACAATGGGAAGATACAAGTTAACATCAGGTGAATTTATAACTGATAGGAGGATTCCCCATGTTATAACGCTCGGTTTTACTTTGTCTAATGTTATAACGGTTGGGTTTACACGTATGGAACGTTAATTTACCTTAGACGATTATTTACACTAGATTCCCTCGCAGTGTCTATTCTACAGGTCTTCAACACAACTCAGATCAAGAACACGTGATTAGCCTGACCACAACGTAATGTATTTCCACACCAAAAACCGACACAATCCAACAACAATGAACAATCAATAATAAGTGAGTAATAATAGTAAGGATAGGGGAATATATAACTCATCTAACACTTGTCAGACTATCTACATTTCTGACTAAGCAGACAACCAATCATTATCATTCTCTCCCACACATCACCTCACTAAAGAGGAATACATTACACATTGCCATAATAGTGTAGAGCGACAAATAGCTGTCCATTTTTATTCACAAGGTAGAAATGTAAGATTTCGAAATAATGATATCGATAATAATAAGAGACGGAACATCTAGATTGTTCCGGAAGCAACGAATGAAATCGGCAAGTAAAGTGTAATGTTGACCCTCAAGATTCAGTTGATAAATGCATTTCCATCACTGCGACTTATAATGTCTTTACTTATCATCTTGGTAATTTTCTCTCCCTCTATGCTATGGTGTGACAACTTCGAACTGGTAAGTTTTCGTCTCAATTCCTACACTGAATGTGACTACGACCATTAAATGTTTATGTCACACACCCCGATCAGAAACTATACATGTTCCTGGATTATTACACTTTAACTTCTATTCTATGATTTGTTAGTTAAACTTTAGATTCGGGATTGTTTAATAGATAGTTGTTCTTGAAGATTGTCTGATTAGCTCTGTGTTCTATGTATGGGACCGGGTATTTACTGACATAGTTTTGGGTTTCTCACATACTGCCAAAACATATCTGTGTCCTCACAATCCAAGCAGTTGCAAAGTGATGCATGGAACAAGCTGCACACTTCAGGTGTACATATATCTCATGAGCAAAAATCGTTTTGACATTTTCTGAGATAGGTCATTTGTTTTTATTGATAATTTGAAAGAAGAGAACTGAAATAAGAAAGATCTGTTTTATACTTCCATAATCGGTAGTAACAACTGGAGTATAGTTATTGATTTTGTTCCGATTCTATGACCGTAACTTATATTTCCTTCGTTAATTTTAGGCATTCAATTATCATTACAAAATTTTTTCCAGTCAAGTTATTTTAAGTAAGTATAGCATTACTCAACTTTATTGATGATGACGGTGTTATTGTTGTTTCTTTTGTAGTTGTTGTGTTCATAGTGATATTATAGCATTACAAAGGTTATTTTTCATTTAGTCATTGTTCTGTATAAATTTTCAGGAGTCACATACACAAATATTAATGCTGGGAACATTTTGGTCTGGTAAGTGCTTTCTGTAGAGTCCGATAGACCAGTATGAAGATCACTTTCGGTCACACATTGTACAGTAATTTATTTATGTAAATAAAGTTCCATTTGTAAAGTCTTGTTCTCAATTTTCACAATGAAGTGCCATGTTCGTTTTTGTACTAAAGATGGATAAACATAAAAAATGGTAATTTTGGTTGGAACCAACTTTCACACGAGTCCCATTAATAAAGTGACATGAAAATACGTGACCAACTTTACAGACTTTTTAACAAGATTTCCTAATTACAATAATTCAGTTTATTGAAATAGTATTGTTGTCAGAATAGATGGGTTATAACGTCTCTGACTGGGTGGGTTCAAACCTCACACGGAACACTATTTTCCCCAAGACTACAAATACGCCTTGTTGACGAGTTCTAACTAGCAGGGAAGCTAAGTCTAGGACTTCATGTTGACTGCTTTCAACCATTTAACTTAACGAACTCACATCAATGTCCCCTGTGTATTGTGTACGCTGTTCGATAAGATCATGATCGGTCTCAGGCGATGAGAGCAAATTAGATAAGACAATAAAATTGATTGTAGTGTAATGAGTTTCAAATATCAATCTTACACTTGCGCTCATCAGTTTTCTAGATTTGCTAACAATGTCGGGATGAATTTGTCCAATCTTCGATTCGCATTAGTTTGAAATGAGGTGGCTAAATATCAGTAGTAGACAGCGATCCGCTCTTATTTCATAACAGTTAAATACCCAACTTTAGTAGATTGAGCAAAATCAAAACATATGAGTCTTGTCTAATTCTCCTAACTATATTTATGTCCGTGTAGCACTTCATCTCATAGGTTTGTCAATTGTGATATTTTTAAAGTACCTAAATATTTGTCAATTTCCTGTTAGGACGCTGACATATTTGGTGTTCAATGAACTATAATCTGCACGTTTATTACCATATTTCTAATGCCTAAATAGTTATTGTAATAAATTATAGTTATAAATTACTTTTTACTTTGAAAATTCTATCCAGTTAGCTAAGTATAACAAACAAGTCAACACTTTATTTCAACATATGGTTTGTTCCTAAAGAAGCGGATATGTTTAGTGAGCAGAATGTGACAATTCATTATTAAGATGTTAAACATTGTGGGACGATTGTTAGTCTACACCTCGTCTCAACCAACATTATTTTTTGTTTCATCAACAAATCCTGATGGCATCGAGGTTGGGGGTATTTAAACATGTGTAGTACATTATCTACTTCATATAAATACTATTAAACGGCTTTTGCAGATGAAAATACTAAGGTCATTTTGATAACGGTCTGTTTTCTCACAATAAGCATGACGCTGAGTACGTAAATCTACTATAAGAACTCTACTTCAGCTGTTAACAAGACATACATTTACATCATTAATGTAAAAAAGGTCAGTGTATTCTACTTGTGACGATGTCACTTAATTAATAACAGTAATGGATAGGATACTTTTTTAGGAGCAATTGCTAGATAAACGTTTTTTTTGAATGCTTGAAGTAAAAAAAAGCAACTGATGTCCACTTACTATCTAGCAATTTAATCCTATTTATGTGTAGTAGATAAGTAGCATTATAACTCACAAAAATGGTTTAAATAAAACCTTCCAAATAGCTATTATCCGAGTGAACGGGTTCTAGATTTTAAAAAAGCATCGGATTCCTAAACTTGTTTCTAGATCATTTTTAGAAACCAAAAATAAGTAGTTTTTTCAAAAAAACAAAATAGGGTAGTTAATAGTCGTAAGACTTATACATGTATATAAATTCACATCCCGAAGCATCAAGTTGACGCACATGCTAAGGATTGAACTGCTCAATAAAAATAACGTAGTGAATTTCCTAAAGTATTCACTGGAAATTTGAATCAATACTAAGTTTGAGTGCAGTTTCCAAAAACAAATTGCCTTTGTATTCATTAAACTTTAAATGAGTATGATAGACTGACAATCGATCTAGAAACAAACAATTTTGAATATATGTATTAAAAATCTCCAGTTCACTAAGCAACCTAGCAGAAGAGTACATTTCTGGCTTTGTGATAGGACGTTTCGTGTGACTTTAGAAAACCAGGTTATCATACTGAAGGCCCATATACTCAACTAACTGTATCTTTCGTGAAACTAGACAGTTGGCTTTTTAGAAGAACAATACTTCAGTACAACGAGACCATAAACGCTATAATTATGCGAAGTCATTCGATGCTTTTAATAATCGATAATTGCGTTTTGCTACCGAATCTTAGAAGAACAAATCAAGACGAGTATGACGTCCAACTTAGAGGTGGGATGTGGTTCAGCCGAGTAGCTAGACAGATTAATATGCTCGGAATTAAAACATTTAGTGTGAGGGCACATGATACTAGTATTCCCGAATCGGTGTTGGTAGGTCTAGGTTCGAACCCATAACACGGTGTTTGCTCTAACTACTGGTCCCAATCCCTCAATTCTATCCAATTGAAGACCAATCATTTGTGGTTTTAAGCCACAGCATGAACAACTACATATTTTGTATCTGATTCATTCACCTTCGAACCTTGTAAAGTGGACACCTAATTGAAAGGATACCAAATAGTTTCAAACTAAAATCTTTGATTAAGCAGTATCAAAGGTTTGTATGAGTGATATAGTAACACTAATATGCGGCTAAGTGTTGATACATGCGAACATTCGATATAAAACAACAACTTTCATCAGTCCTCTGAGTAAAAGTGGACGAGTTATATTCAGCAAAATTGGAAACAGATTTACAAGAGTATGGATCCGATAACAAATACAAGGCCGCTCAGAAAATACTTGATTACGTGCATTAAGATGATTCAGTAAGAAGGTATACTGTGAAATAAACAAGATACTAGCAAGTAAAACATGTTTGCGTACATATATTTTACAGAGTGCAGAAGTGAGTCAAGTTATAGATAAAGTCCTTCAGGTGTCCCTTCACTTTTCCGATAAAGTACATTCTCTTTCGCCTTTTTGAAATCTTCGTCAGTGACTTTCATCCTTCTTTCTCGTAGAGCCAATAACCCAGCTTCAGTACAAATAGCCTGGAAAAAAAGAGAAAATCGAAATTCACTTTTATTAGTGCGCAGTTAAAAATAAACATTACACTACTTAATCTTCTAGAGCTTGATCTTTATAACATGACTCAGTTTGTGAATTCCATAGCACAGCGTTGATTTTAGCCCGAACGCATGAGGACTCTTCTTACTCCATTCGACATAAACAGATACAGAAAAAGTTGGTATCCTAGCAACGATCATGTAAAAAATGGTGAACATTTTTGATAAAACCCACACCTATGAGCTTTCAAAGCATAATTGTTTCGTATGGGGATTTTACAGAAACACTACATATGAACCGAACACTTGCACGATGTTGATTTTAAGGATGTCACATAACTTTTTTATTCGAAAACGTTTAAGCGTTATATGAAGAAATATAGTGCAACAACAATGAGTAACCCTGACAAAATTTGCGGAAACGCTACTTTTCAGTGAATTGATCTGATTTAATCTGAAATTCAGGATTTCAGAATGCATTCTGCCAGCTAAACTTGGGGATTCCCAGTCGTTTTTAGATGACTCCATATAACATGGGTTTGCGTGTAGGCCTGTCTCGGTAGAAAGCAACAGGTTGCTTATTTTGAAATCCTTAGTCAAATGACTTGGAAGACCTAGGTCAATTGGGTCAGGCGTTTCATAAATTCTTGAAACGTCTCAGTCACACTGCTCCTGGTTTTCCTCAGGCCTATTTCTGCTCATCATACTTATCATTGGGTAAGCAATGGTTTGGTGTGCTTGCATAAATTAAGTATCATCTCACCTTGATGTCAGCACCTGAAAGTTCATCTTTAGAAGAAACATATTCCTCCAAATTTACATCTTCAGCTAAAGTCATGCGACTTGTATGAATACTGAAAATACGACGTTTTGTTTTTTCATCAGGTAGGGGAAATTCGATTTTACGATCGATTCGACCAGGTCTGATTAGCGCAGGGTCCAACGTTTCGATTCTGTTAGTGGCCATAATAACTTTCACGTCTCCACGAGAATCAAAACCATCCAGTTGATTAAGTAATTCTAACATTGTCCTCTGTATTTCGCGTTCACCACCTGAATTTGATTCATACCTAAAATAATCAAAACGGATTTATTGAAACAAACCTAGCCTAAATCACATGTACGGCATACGAACTCAGTGTTATTCGGAAGATTCATAAATTTAACCCCATTGGCAATAAGAAGGATAATATTAATCAAAGAAGCAAACGTAGTGAAAGTAACCAAACTGGTATAGAAATATCAACAAGAAATAAAATCACATCATTGCATACTTTCTACAAAAGTTATTTAACAAGCATACTACTTAGAGTACAATACTTTTATAGATTAAATTTGCGGAAATTATATCAGCCAGCAAAAGCATAATCACTTAACATCAAATTTTAATTAAGACCCATCAGTGAACTTTTAGATGTCTTGTTCTAACTACTGAACTAAATGGGTAGCAAAACATGACTGCTTCCTTAGTTGACTGGGTTTGGTCACTTGAATAGATACCATCCTGCATTCAACACCGTGTATCTTACTGGTATTCCTAATTCGGTGACCGAACACTAATAAAGTTCTTGGTTTTGTTTGGAATTATAATTTTCCAATCCCAAAATACTTATTCACAGATACTGTATTCTCCCTGAATTTAAACTTAGTACATATATATGTTCGTTTTGCTGAACAGTTATTTCATGAGGAACTCCGCTTGCAGCTATTCTAGGGCTACTGCCAGTCCCAAGCCCAGGTAAAGAAGGTTGGAGCATAGAGTCAGCATCCCAGTCCCGTAACAAACATTGCTAAAAAACGCTAACCAGAATAACTCTGGTCACGAAGAGAAAAATGCTCCACACACTCAGGGAGTTGCTCTAATGCTGTTCAAACAAGCACGAAATACACTTATAGAATGGAAATCTCATGTATCATCAAAGCATCATCTGAAATAAAGGAGGAGGGAATCACAATGAGTATTATCCAATGTTATGCACTCACCGATGATAGTAATGATGACGACAAAGATCAGTCCTAT